TATCTCTCAGATCGGAGGCAGTGTGTTCAAGATAATGGTACTTCCTCCAAGTTATTTAACAGTCAACAATGGTGTACCACAAGGCTCAGTCTTAGGACACACCATTTACAATCTACATAGGTAATGTAGGTCAAAACATCCCTGATGCATCCATACATTTCTATGCTGATGACACAGTTGTTTATTGTCGAGCTAAAACAGTTGATAAGGCTTTTGCAGCTTTTGCAATCTGTATTTAACATCATCCAGTCAGATTGGTTCGACCTCAAACTTGTCCTGAATGCCGAAAAAACCAAAGGGATGCTTTTTTCAAATAGGAAGGTGGTCCCAGCAGTTCTTCCTCTGATTTCATCCTCAAATGGTGTCCCTATCGAGTTTGTTGAGTCCTATAAATATTTGGGGATCTTGGTCGATTCGCATCTCTCTTTTAAGCTTCAGAATCAGAATAAACTTTATTGGCATTGCACCGAGATACAACGCAAATATGTATGTAGTCGTCCGAAGATGGGCGGAGTGCACGAAGCTGCGGCTATAAGTAATTAGCGCAGCCTTCTTATTCTTATTTAGAACAATATTTTGCTTAGATGAGAAAAGGAAAGAAAACATGAAGAGAGACGGTATAAAAAAAGATCTCTCACACCATGTCCTAGACAGGGCACAATTTGCGGCATCAACAAAACCTACCACAGCAAAGCAACATAAACAGACGTTATACATGAACATATAGGCCGGTGAAAACATTGAATTTTTAAGGGAAAGTCATAGCATAGTCCAGAGCCCCCCCTCAGCCATTGTCCAGATAAGAGGTGACATGTCATTCACGTGGAAAACCTAGTAAAGAAACCGAAAGTTAAACTGGGTTTCTTTTTCAGAAACTGATCCCGTCTAACTCTGAATCCTAGGAAAACATTGTAACTGTGACTTTCCTTCCCTCCATTGATTACGGTGACATTATTTACATGAACGTTCCTACAAGAACCCTGTAGATGTTGGATGCTGCAGATGTTGGATGCTGTCTATCATGGTGCACTAAGATTCATAACTGGCTGTGATTATCGTACCCACCACTGCACCCTGTATTCACTGGTTAACTGGACATCATTAACTTCACACAGACTCTCCCACTGGTACATTTTCATCTTTAAATCACTTCTTGGTCTGCTGCCTTCATACATCTCCTCCTACATGTTTCTGCGCGAGTGCAGCTACAGCGTGCACTCTCAGGACATTATTACCTGCAGTGTTCCCTCAGTGAGGACTGAACTAGACAAAATGACCTTCTCCTACTCCGCTCCTGTTTCCTGGAATATCTTGTAAAAAGATCTGAAGCTCTCGACGTTGACCTCTCGTAAGCCTGGTATCCACAGGTCTGGTTCTTGTTGTAGCCTGTTGTGTCCGGTTCTAGTGGGACCTCTATTTTTGTGTCTCCACTTTGCCTATAGTTCCCGTTTAGTGGGCGGATTGTTCACCTCTAGTGGGCGGATTATTAATATCAACGCACCTTACCAGCTGGTGGCGGTAGTGCTACATTAAGCTCTTTTCTAAGCACCACTAACATGTATTAGAAGAAGAGCTGGAAAACAACACACAACCAAAATGGATGACCTCGATGAACTTGAAGCAGAACCAGCCGCACAGCCCATCCTGGTCGCTGTCCCACAAGATGGAGAGCAGGGCCGAGGTGTCAGAGATGCTCTGATGGAGTACCTCATGAGCTGTAACTTATCCTAATTCCACCCCTTAATCTTTTTTACCTCCCCAGCCTTCCTTAGATACAAGTGAACGTTAAAGTGTTGATTTGAAAATAAACATGGATTAATAATTATTCTTGTTTGTTTAATGTACAGACATGTCTTATTACCAGGTTCGTGTAAAAATGGCAAAACAAACACTGCTGCTGTGCTTCTATCACATATGCTGCGTTTTTTACTGGCTGTAGTTTTAGAAAAACTGTATACTCCTTAATTTTTGTTTTTGA